CGTCATCCGCAAGATGCACGTTGACTGGAGCAATCTTCTTATAGTTCTTCATGTACTCCTTCGAATACGTCATGTGTTGTGTCGCTTCCGAGTCAACCAACCACACGCAGCTTGACTTGGCAGCACACGCAGCATCACCAACCGAAAATAAGTAGTTGCCAGAATCATCGTAATTCTGCGCAATACTCGCACGCTGTGGTCGTTGTCGATCGGCATTCTCTAGAGTTCGCGTGGGGCACTTGGCAATCCAATGTCCATGCTCCCCACAGTAGTAACAGGGACCATTCGTTTTTACTGGCGCTTGTCGCCCTTTGCGTCTTCCAATGTCTATTGAATCAAACGCTTGATCTTGTCCGTGCGCGGCTCCGTCAATACCGCCACCTTGTTCTTTACGCTTCATATCCTCGTGTAGGAGCTGAGACGTCACTAGCTCCCACGACAGCGAGTCCACTCTTGACGCCAGCGCCGTGATAAGGAACGAGTAAGACTCACTGAGAATTCGAAGAAGCGTAATCACCAAGTCTTCTTCGCTAACCGGAGCTCCCACAGCGTTGAGCTGCTCCGCAAGCGTCATAATCGTGTTAATGTGCTCCAGCACATCATCACCTTCACTTATCATCGTCGTGAAGAAGAGTCGACAGAGAAACAGTTTGTTCGCCAAACTTTTCTTCTCGAAATGCGACTCCAGACGTGACCATACATCCTGCGCGCCGTTTGCTGAGCGGACCAAAGGAGTTGCGAGTCCTCCATCGCGAGACAGTTTATCGCCCTGGCCTTGCGCAACATCCTCTTGAACGTCGACTGCTCCAGCGAGGTGACGCAGTGCTCAACCTTGACCTCCCCGGAAACAACTTCTCACAAGTCACGTTCCTCAAGCACCATTTGCATCTTGAACTTCCAGGTGTGGAAGTTTGTTCCGTCGAACTTGTTGATGCGGCTGGGGACGGAAGGATCCATTGCGAAGGCGAAGTCGTAGTTGGGGGCAGAGTCTGCGGGGCTTGGGCTCATAACCTAATGAAAAGGTACTTGAGCACTAGATGGCAAAATGCAAAGTAAGTATATTTAAGGGCCTTAATTCGCTGCGCTACCTCTAAGCCTATCTCGAATATTCTACAAAATATTCTACTGGATTCTTTACTGGATTTACGTTTTTTTATGCGCTTGTGGATAGCCTCTTCACTGGATACTTCACTAGATACTTGGATAGTCCAAGAAACCGCAACTTGCGCCATTCGCCTGTCCACACTGGTAATATCGATACATACCGGTTGCTTTCTCTGCGCCACTAGTCTGACGAGGCGCTTCTTGGCCTTGCACCTGTCAAAAGTGCAGTGATAGATGGTGGTACAACAACAGGCCAAACGAAATTGTCACTGCCTTGCTGCATTCGATTGTGTCCTTTAGACACACGACAGTCGGCATTCGGTATTGGCTTACCGTGAGCTATACGAATTGCCAACAAAGCAATCTACATCAAATGAAATGATGTTCATTAGCAATAGATCTTAAGAAGTGGCCTTGCAGCTATCAAAAGTGCAGTGATTGATGGTCTTGATGTATAGCAACAACAGGCTAGACAAAATTGTCACTGCTTTGCTGCATTTAAATGTGTTCTTTAAAAATTCACGACGATCGAAATTCTGTATAGGCTCACCGTAAGCTGTACGCATTGCCAACAAAGCGATCTACATCAGAGATGAATAATGCACATTGACAATCGTTCACGAATCGGTTATAGCGGAGTTTAGCACGTGTTTGCAGATCACTGTTAAGCATATCGATCGCATCCAAGGTATTCATGCATCACTGCAGCTATCCAATGGCAGTGATAGATAATGTTCATTTGTAGCAACAACACATCAAACGCAATGTTGCCTGATTGACGCATTTGTTCGTATCCTCTAGATACACGACAGTCGACATTCCCTATCTGCTCATAATAAGCTATACCCATAGCTAACAAAGCAATCTATATCAAATGAAATGATGTTTGTTAACAATCGTTCATGAGTCGGTTATAACGGGGTGTAGCACGTGTTAGCACTTCATTATTAATCGTTTTCGATCGCATCCAAGGTATGCATGTATCATACAGCTATCAAATGGCAGTGATAGATTATGTTCATTTGTGTTACCAACACGCCAAACGCAATGTTGCCTGATTGACGCATTTGTTCGTATCCTCTAGATTCACGACAGTCAACATTCGTTATCGGCTTACCGTAAGCTATACGCATTGCCGACTAAGCAATCTACATCAAATGAAATTATGATCATTAGCAATTGATCTTAAGTCCGTTAAAGTTGCCTTGCAGCTATCAAAAGTGCAGTGACTGATGGTGTTGATGTATAGCAACAACAGGCTAGATAAAATTGTCACTGCCTTCTGCATGTGAATGTATTCTTTAGATTCACGACGGTCGAAATTCGGTATTGGCTCACCGTAAGCTATACACATTGGCAACAAAGCTATCTACATCAAATGAAATGATGTTCATTAGCAATTGATCTTAAGTCTGTTAGAGAGGCCTTACAGCTAACAAAAGTGTAGTGATATATGGTGGTGATGTAAAGCAACAACTGTGTTAAAAGTGCGCCTCGTCGTGCAGACTAGTGGTGCCAAGGAAGCGTTTCGACGAGCAGCCATTAACCGGTAGAAATCGGTATTACCGGTGGGACAGGCTGATTGTGCAAGTTGCGGTTTCATGGGTTAGCCGAGTAACCAGTGAAGTATCCAGCAAAAGGCTTCCCACGAACACATAAAAGGTACATATATCCAGTAAAGAATCCAGTAGAATATTTGGGACGATATTCTCGATAGGCTTAAAGGTAGCACTGCGAACTAAGGACCTTAATATATTCACTTTGAATTTTGCCAAAACATACGCACTTGCCTTAAGATCAGGTTATGAGCCCAAGCTCA